CAATGTCCATTCAAGCCCGTCAGCGAACAGTCAAAAACCAGACGGAAAGTTTTTTTTATGACATTACTTTGCTTATTTGCTTTTCGAAGCTCAGTAGTACAACATGCTATCGGTATTGAGGTTTCGAAACGTTTTAATCTCCTGATTGATACAGAATACGGATATCATCAGAAGCATACATGTACAGTGTGCTGTGTGAAGATGCTGTTGGTCTTTTCCATACATTAGACAATAAAATGATAAATTGATGCTTACTTTGCAAAAGTACTAATGACCAAAACGAGTTGGTTTTAAGCTTTTTTAATTGTCTATTTTTTTAATTAGCAATGCTTTCTGATATGCATAGATAACGGCCCACTTCTCAAAAATGAGACCTTTCTTAATTAAATGTCATTAATTAAAAATTCCAGGGCTTGAGAGAGTGCGAAGCGCGGTAAAAACAGTTATCCTCCCCATTTCCCACTTCTCTCTCATTCTATCTTTCTCCCTCATACACTCTCGTGCAAACTCTCTCTCTCTCTCTTCTCCCTCTTTCCTTCTCTCTCACACTAGCCCCTTATCTCGGTTTTGGGATCACGTGAGAAGATTCTCACAGGAAAAACGCAATTAAACTCTGGAGCCCCTCTCCAGAATTTCCTGGGGGGGCGCTCGGAGAAATTCTTTGTTCTTCGGATCTCCCAGGAGCGCGGATTTTCCCAGGGGCTCCTTTAGTCTGAAGAAAGTCGCCGTAGTTATTGGACCTTGGTCGTCGGATAGGCGGACCGAAGGTAATATATAAGATTTTTACAAATTTTCGATCATCATTCACTCAACTTGACGTGTTTCAAGTAATTTGAGGAAGATCAGAGGGTTTTCTAGTCAGCAGGGTTTAGCCTAGTTATAAGAAATTCTTTCGATCCTGATGACTCGCAATTTCTCATTCAATTGTACAATTGATTCTCTTTGTACGACATATTAGATAAATTGTATTCATTTCCAGACTAGGTCCAATTTTTTAGTATTTTGATGTTGATTAGTAAATTTTTTTACAACTAACAAATACACTATTAGATAGCTCACGTCTACATCCTTTTTGAGGTATGTTACGGTTTCTTATGTTTTTGCTATGATTCTATTACAATTTAACGAGGATCCTTATTATTCGATCTGTCAGTCTCACGTTCATCGGGGTTGAGAGGCCAATTTTGATCTCGTGCACGGATCGTACAGGCCGCAGTTTCCAGGGCGCGCGCGACCGCACGTTGCCGCATAATTTTGTGCGTAGGCAAAAATGTTAATACGTCCCCGAGGACGGATTTGTAATTATCTGTCGTCGACGGAGGAGAAAATATAATTCGTCTGAGTCATTCCTCCCTCCAAGCGAGCTGGTACGACACTCCCTGGGGCCCGCACGGGTCAAAAACTCGCCCGGTCATGAGCTGGCCCTCGGATTTCTCGAATACAGATTATAATTAATTAATAAATTTATTACCGGGGTAATATGGCATGGTAGTCATGCTCGGACTGTCGGATTTCTTTCTGGGGCCTGCTGGGTGATGAACCCTGAAACTCACCGACTGAAGATGACAAAATGCCGAAACGCCGAAAAACTAGCGGCCCAGGATGACCAAAATCAACAAAGCATAAATACAATTAAGAAAATTCAAATATACTAAGAGTTTTAGTTTTAAGGTCTGTAGGGTAATAAATCCTAAAACAACATTTTTTTATTAATACATTTATTTATGAAAACTGGTAAAATAAGACCATCTATTACTTTTACAACGGCTAATTTAGTAATAAATAAACCATTCATTAGTGTCACAGTTTATCTAGTAGTGTAGTAATAAAATAACTTAGATCTCTTATGATCTGCTATCTAGTAAGTGGATGGTCTCGGTAATTCGGGTGGCTTTGAAGTCGAAGGTAGTGCTTATATGCATACTCTGTGATATCCGTGTCTAAGTGATGTTCAGATCTCTGTGTATGTCGATATTGCGAACATACCGAGTAGCATGTTCCATTAAAGATAAGATGATGGATAGACCTACGGTTGAACAACTTCGAAAAAGTATCTTCGGTGAGGTTACAATAGAACGACCATTCTTTAAATTTTAGCCAAGCTTTCCACGATTTTATCGTCATCAGGGCCTATTTATTATAGGAAGTTATATCAATTAGAACATATCGTATAATTTAAAAACAAAATTTAAAAAAACAATTATATTTTTCTTACTTTAACTAGATGAGTGTTGAAATATATCTTGAGAAAAAAACTGCATTTATAATAAGATTATTTAAAATGAGGTGAAGCTCGGTATCTAAATATTAACAAGATTTAGTATGGAATTAATTAAAAACAATAAAAACAACATAATATAAAATATTAAAAAAAGCTTGGCAAAAACTTAAATTGTCGTTCTGTTGTGACCTCACTGAAGATACTTTTTCCAAGCATATACCATACTTCGTAGAACTTCGTTTTGGAACCGCTGTATTACTTTGCTTCTTTTATCACACCCCCAAAATTTTCTACCATGCATCCATCCAGGTTTTAATGCCTGATTATAAATGATTATTTTATTTAGTTTCTTGCCCTTCTAAGCAGTTTAAAGTCATTTTAATTATCTCATTCTAGGGATCTTTGTTTTGCAGTTGGACGTTTCGGATCAATCTTTGATTATGTTGAATTTGAATAAAATAAATACAAAAATATATCATAATTTTTCCTTGAATTATATTCATGTATAGAAATAAAATTAATATTAAAAATATTTCAAAGATTTCTACAAATGAAACATTATTTCAAACACAATTATCATATCTGTATTTTCTAATTTTTAAAGCTTCATGATTTTTACTGATGAATTATTGTGAGGATTCATGATGATTTTTATTATTACTTACATGTATCGGCCTTTATATATAAATTTGTATCATAATTTATTTCTTTTATTATAATAAAAATTTAATTTAACTTTACAACTTCATTCCGGCACAACTATTTACATATATGGAAAGCAGGCTGTACTGGAATAATTAAAAAAATAATAAATCGTTTCGTTGAATTATACTGAGGTTTTTATTTAATATTTATTTTGAATAATGGTTTATTGGCACCTTATTTATTTTAAAATGCATTACTAGTTTCGACGCTCGTTTGGTGGCATTCTTTTCAAGTGTTTCGTTGAAGCTATAACATATTATAATAAAACAATTTTTAAAAATCTAAATATACAGTCTATTATATTTTTTAAAATTTTCAATACTATATATTATACACTTTAAACATTATTACGTTATTTTCTATATTTTTTTAACTGTTCAATACAAAAAAACCATTTTAAAATTACTTATATCCAACATAACAGGTTATGTTTTTTTCTAATTTTTTTAAAAAAGTTTCTTTTTTGTTTATATCTATTGCACATACATTAAATGTTGCTGTTAACTTGTATTTGTCTTTTTTTGGTAGGAAATTGGTAAACACAAAAAAAAGAAGAAATTTTTTAACAGTTCAATACAAAAACAACCGTTATAAAATTACTTATATCCAACATAACCGGTTATGTTTTTTCTAAGTTTTTTAAAAACGTTTCTTTTTTCTTTATATCTATTGCACATACATTAGACGTTGCTGTTAACTTGTATTTGTCTTTTTTTGGTAGGGAAATTGGTAGGAAAACAAAGAAAGAACAAAGAAGAATTTCTTTTTAACTGTTCAATAAAAAAAAATTATAAAATTACTTATGTCCTACATAACAGGTTATGTTTTTTCTAAATTGTTTAAAAACGTTTGTTTTTTTCTTTATATCTATTGCACATACATTAAACGTTGCTGTTAACTCTTTTATAAAACTATGCGTGGTATTTAGTGACCGTTTATTAATGATTATTTAAGGATCGTGAGATGACACATCTCGCGATCCTCAAATAATTATAAAACTATATTGATTTTCTTTCTGCCTTTCATTCTCAGTCTGTCGGACAGAATTCTTCTTCCTTCTTAGACTTCTTGCCATTTCAGTGATAGGCCTGTATGTACAAACTTTGGTATAAAGAGGATAAAAAGGACCAAAATGATCTGACCAAACTACAGTCTCAGTTTTTGTTTTCCAGCACTGTTTATTTTTTGTTAATAATTAGTTTTTATCGATTATCTGAGTCGAAATTGATAAAACTCCCTTAGTCTGAACGATATGATAATGATGGTATATTTAAAATTTAGTTAGGGAAGAACCATCCCGGGTCGTTAAGTAGTCCCGACGTCTTGTCATAACCAGGGCCGTCTGCCGAATTGAAATAAAAAGCTAGGTGAAAAAAAAGAGAAGAAGATGAAGAAGAGCAGACGATTAGATTTTTCGGTGGGCGGAATTTTTCCCTTTCTTCATCTCGGTGCCACACCTTCGATTGTTCGCCCGGTGACGAGTAACGGTCTGAAAAGGACGAAAAGGCAGGGTGCGACGCGCACCGGGGATAAACGGGCTAAGGGGGAAGAAGGCACTGTCGGATGAGATTAATCTTTTAAAAAAATAGGTCAAAAAATGTTTCAGTTTAAAAATAAAATTGTGATTTTTGTATAGCATGTTTCATGGGTATAGTATGGGTTTGTTGGTGTTCATTTAATATTGTGCCAATTGGGAGCCTTTATCCCGTTGGATTCATATTTCCCAACATCGCCCACAGAGTTATCGGGCCACGGTCCTATTTCATTATCGAGGATCGGACGAAAGAGAAAAAAAATCCCTTTGTCCTCATACAAAAACATAATCAAAAGCCTTTTGTCAGGAGTTAATTAGGCGCCGGGACGAAAACGACTTTCCTTTCATTTCCCCCCATCCCTCGCCCGACATTTCCCCGTCGAGGATATTAATTTGTTAAATTAACCCTCTGACCGGGTGGGGAGTTCATTATGTCGCAGCTTGAGGCCTTCATTGTTTCCTTTGCAGTTAAAACTAAGATTCAAATAAGGTTTTGCCTGAATAAGTCGGTTGTAATCGGTACTTTTTGATATGTTTCAGGTAAGAAGTGGCGGAGTCTCACCCCTCAGGACAGGCGACCGTTTGTTGAAGAAGCGGAGCGGTTGCGTGTTATGCACATGCAAGAGCACCCCAACTACAAATACAGACCGAGGTAGATTATCTGTTTTCCTCCCCGGCCCGAACAGCCTTTGTAACACCGCTAATGTTTGTTTAAGAAGACGAAAACAGGCGAAGAGATCCTCCGGCCCGGGTTCCCCGCAGGGCTCCGGCTTAGGCTCCTCCCTCAGGGCGACCGGGAACCCCGGAGGAGCCGAATCCGGGAATCCGAGCTTCTCCTATTTCCTGCCGACGACTCCTGATTCCTCGCCGTCCGGAAGCCCGACTCGGGTACCAGACGAAATGGAGGAGGACTTCTCGCCGAGGACAACGGGCGCGGAAGAAGAAAGGCTTTATCAGCATCCTTCCACCTCGGCCAACCCTGACTACTATAGGTAACTATCCGACCTCTCTTGTAATGATACAAAAATCAAAAAACTAATATAACGAACTTTCAGGTATCAAAATTACAACCGCCCTTACGGCTACCCTCAGAATAACACGATCTCCGCGATGGGCGTGGCGAAGGGGATGGTTATGCTCTGCACGAACCAGAGACTCCTTGGGACTTACGAACACTCGGGAATAGTCACGGGAACTTTCTACCCTCCGATAGCGACTTCTCAGGACCAGCAGAATCTAGTCGGCGCCTCCCAGAGCGCCGTCTACTCATCCGTCAATTCCCAGCGCAGCTACTACCCCCAGCAAGAGCCAACGAACTACCCGGTCTACAGGACATGTCAATACAGAGGTAAACTGAAATTCAATACTATGAAACATAAGCACGATTCAATCTAGACTTTTAACATAATTGATAAGGGTGGTAGATGGTCTTCCTCGAAATGAAAACCCCATACATAAAAGTATAGATTTTTTTAATTTAGTTTCGATATGCCAATTAATTTTACCTTATTGAATTATTAACATATCGAGAATTTTTTAGAAATAATTTCCATATGATTTGTATCGCAATATATACAACTAATTTAAATTTGAGTTCATGGTCTATCTTGTAGTTCACAGGATGCATTTCATCAGCCTTTCATTACAATCTTAACAAATATTTTGGCTAATGAACTCCCCAGCCAATTTTCCATAGGTTAAGTTTAGATTTCTATACTTTTTCCTCTCCCCCTTTTGCCATTTTAGAAAATGGGAACGGGAAAGGCTTGGGAAGCGATATTCAAAAATAAAATAGGACACGTCACTTCCGAAACGTATTTTACGTAACGTGGGAACCCTAATTTGCAAACTGCCTCGAGGAACAATGGGTTCTCCAGAAGAGAAAAGGATAAGAACGATATTTAGACGGTCTATAACGAGAAAATATATAACAGAGTTAGTTACCTGCCTGTGGGAAATTAGATGGTTTCATTATCTTCGATTTATTATAGGAAAAAAGATATTTGAGAATAATGTAGGGTGTCTGGATAATAATTACTTTCGAGGATAAAACGGGGGTTTTTAAAAGTTGAAGACATGGAAAAGGTGTCTCGAAGATTTTTAAGGAAGAAGGTGATCGTTGGAAAATTCTGAAAAAGTCTACCACAAGTCTCTCCATAAAGATTTTCTCAAAGTAGTGCAAGCTTTACTTCTTCAAAAAATATCACTTCGAACTTTTCAATTCACTTTTAAGCCTATCTCTTAAAAGGTCACATCGAGGGTACTCATGTACAATGAGATAGACTTTGCAGGGTTTTTTATCTCTAATTACAACAGAACCTAAACGGATCGGGCACCGCTCGAAAATTGTGGGTGTCCAGTTTTGTTTTTATAATTCCATTTTATTTTTTTTTAATTTTTTAATCGGCCCGTAATAAAAGTAAACAAAAGATGCCAAAAGCTCGATAAACGAAGCGGCCGGAGAGCCCGCGGCCCCCTTCGTCGCTAATGATTTCGAAAAACTCCCACTTCTTATCTGCCCCCTCGCCCAAACCTCCTCCCCCATCCAGGACGATGATGATTATATGTTTTATCCTGTATTTAATATAAGTCGGGCCTAGATGGGAAGGGAGCGATAAAAAGGGGGCGGGATCGCCCCGGTCTTTATAAAGTCATGATTCGGACCTTTGCCGTCTCAAATAATACGGACTTTCACGTCTCTCGATCCTCGAGGCTCCGAACCAAAAATCTCAAATTTGAACGGATACCGTAGGCCAACGTGACAGACAAAAAGAAACCCACCACTTCTTACAGGCAAAGCCGAAACGCCTTACGGACCAAAACAGCGAGGATGGGCAGACGAAAATCATAGGAAGCGACCTGGTTTAAACAGCCTGCCCACAGTCCTCGAGAGGAGATCTAAAAAAAATAGATACAAGATTTTAAAAAAGTGGTAATCTACGAGTTAACCACATCGTTATTCTAAACTGAGACATCATCCTCCAGGTCGCAAAAGTCAAGTTAGCACATAGTGATAGGGAAAAAAAGAGACGGCCACAAGGCCTTCTCCACCTCGACCTAAATAGATCAACTGTGCTCCTCTATTTTTATAACTCACTGACCAGTTTTCAGGTTGCTAATAAACATCCCTAGACTTATCAGCTGCTCTTTAGTGTATAATCCTGCTTGTTGCTCTTCCTCTCCCAGATCCAAGAATCTGCAACTACATAGATCCTCACAAAAACATAAAACTTGTTCTGCTATTTCCTATTCTTCCTGGCAGTATCATCACAGTCTTTTTCTGTCTTGTCCAGTGTCTTTTTAGGCGGCAGTGCCTTGTCAGGTGTCCGACCAGAATCCTAGTTCTGTTGCGGTTACCCTCCAGTAATTCCACTTGCGGATGGCACTTCTATAAAGAAAACGGTTATCTCTCTGAGATTTGGCACGAGGGCGATCTGATCCATTCCTTCTTGAGTAACCTCGAGTATATGGATGGAAGACACTTCGGACAGGTGTTCTGGGAATGTTAAGCGCCCTGGCCAGATACGCTTGACATCTTCCATCTTCCAACAATGATTCTAGCCGAATCTGTATCACTTAAAAGCATCACTCAAACTAATCAAACTTAAAATTGGTGCAACTTAAAATAATCAATCCACCAAAACGTTTGACAGAAGCTTAACACAAAAACCAACAAAGAAGAGATTGGCTCGGGGTTCGCCATCTTCAGCAGTATTTTGTTAATTTTGTCTCTGGTAACATACGCCAATGGGTATTCTCTTCTTCCTGGTGGTATCAGCACAGTATTTCTTCTGTCTGTACTCTTAACCGGTGTCTTCTTAGGCAGTACCCTGTCAGGAGACCAAACAGAATCCTGATTGCGGTTAGTGTTGCAGATGGCACTTCTATGAATCTCATGCATAAAAAAAACCGTCGCTATTTAGCAGCATATAAGAAACAACTTCTTATAACAAATCTTCAATGTATCTCGTAGCCTCGATGAAGATCAAATTTGTGAGAACATCCATAGAAATGTCTGTCCAAACCATAACGCCTTTCCTTACTTATTAACCTTTTCCATAGTGAAAATATTGCGGGGATTATGAACGAATTGCCTCAAGCAAAACCTTGACTCATCCAAAAACAATATTTCAGCCTAACCTTCCTCAGACAACTTGATTTAATTTCTTGAGAAGCTTAATTGAGCTGTTCTATGTCTTGTCAGAAGTTTTGGACCAGTGGCAGGCCTTCTCGCACATAATCGTCTTAAGTCTTCGCCTTACAGTGCATAAACTGATCAGCATTTCTCAATTGTTGAAGCGTTGCTTGACCTCAACAGCAGTAGAATGTAGATTACGGAGTACATTCGAAACAATAAAACGATCATTTCTCTTAAATGATACTCTAGGACGATCTCATCCATTCCTTCTTGAGTAACCTCCAGTAACTTGGTAGCGATGGAAGACGCTTCGGACAGTTTTTTTTTAATGTTAAGCGCCCTGGCCACATACGCTTGACTTTTTCCATCTTCCAACAATGCTATGATTCTAGCCGAAACAAATTTGAAACTTAAAAATGCTACAATTTAAAAAAATCAAACAACCGGATCGTTAAAAAGAAGCTTTACAGAAAAACCAACAAAGAAGAGATTGATTATTCAAAGATTTATTTACAAAATCCAATTGTAAACACAAGTGGGAGATTTTATCTGTGTTTTATTTACTCCTAATCCTTTAAAACGGCCAAATATTGTTGTAAGATAATCAATTGCCTAAGTGTATAATAATTAAATATATTAAGGGTAGCCACTTTTTTCTTTCAGTGTACATGATCTTAAAGCTTGACAATTTGACGTTTTTTGTTGCAGAATTGGAAAGGCGATACAGCCCGGGAGCAGCGGGCAGCTCTATTCAGCAACAACAGCCGCAGCAGCCTCTTGAGAACACGGACCTTCTCCATCCCCACGTGCCCGAGCCGCACCTCTACGACGTCCAAGACATGGACGAGCTCGACAAGTACCTCAAGTACCAGCAGCTCCAGCAGCCGTTGCAGCAGCAACAGCCGCACTACCAGCAGCACCTGCACGGACCCCTCGATTCGAACCACAACTACCAGAGCGAGTATCAGTACCCGATGGAAGACCTGGACAAGTATCAAGACCAGCAGCAGATCCAACAAGTGCAACAGGTACAACAGCAGGTACCGCAAGACGGCGAAGAGCAGAAACCGCTCGACGACTTTTCACACATCCTCGCCGACGTACGAAAAACATGCTACACTTCGTGTACATAATGATTTCTAAATAATTAAAATTAAAAATTAAGCCTAATAAAAAACTAGCAATATTTTTGTAAATTAGATTTTCTGTTAAATATGTTTTTAAATAAATTTTAAGTTTTATTATTATTTAAAAATTGTCGTTTTTAATTAAAGCGTTTTTTCGTAGTTTTGACTTTTTTGTTTTTGTTATTGTTCCATATCCTTATGGCATTTTTAATTGTGTACACTCATTCCTACGTTTATGGTAAATTATTGAAATTTACCATTTTTCAAATTTTCTCTTATTCAACTATGTTCTATAATAAAAGAAAATTAACAAACAAAAATGGCTCCTTCGAGATGTTCTGCAGAATCTAGTCTACTGCAATAAGACAATTGTAAAACTTTGTATTAAAAGCAGGTTCATAGAGCAGATGAGATAATTTTTATTTTCTGAATGCACAAATTATTTAAATTAGCAATTATTTAAAGATGGTTGTGGAAAGGGAAAATTATTCTTGGCCTTCTTGATTTTTCTAAAGCCTTCGACATAAACCATTCTCTTTTTTCTAAACTCATTTCTTCTCCTTCACCTACAGAGTTCATCTCAGTCAAGCCCCCTTCTTCTCATTTGCCTCTCATTAAGGTGTTCCTCAAGGCCCCAGTTTATTTGTCTCACTCTTTTGTATTTATATTAATTATCTTCCTAATATCCTTAATATTACTTATCAACTCTACGCGGATGAGTTGCCAATCTATCTCTCATGACCTTCCAATATCAATCATCCAAGAATACATAAATACCATCATATCCTGGGCTGTTGAAAATGAGCTCTCTCGATATCAATAAGCAATAGTGTTTGGATCCCCTTCTCCAATCTTTATCTCCTATTATCCCTATTCCTCCTGTATTAACAGCCAACCGATCACTATTATCCATCTGTTAAAAAGCTAAGCATTGTCCTTCAAAAAATCCTAACCTGGAAACCCCACATTTTCCAAATGTTCCGCTGCTGTTTCTCCATCCTCCGCCCATTCTGTCTTGCAAGCCAACTCTTCCCAATCTTCATCCGCAAACACCCTGGTCTCCTCCCTTATCCATCCCCATTTCGACGGCCGTTTTATCCTCGATGGATTCACCTGCGAGCTTGTTAGACTCAAGCCTATATTATCAGGTACGCCTCAAGGGTCTGTTCTATCGCCGATACTCTTCAATATCTTCATGCACGATTTCCCCACCTCAGAAAATATCAATGTTGCAACATTCGCGGATGACTGTAGTTAGTATATGCAAGAAATGAATATATTGATGAGGCGCAGAACCGTGTTCAAGCAGCATTAGAAACAATCACTTCTTTCTGCACAGCGTGGAAGCTGGTCATCAACCCCTCCAAATGTGAGGCAAAAGTTTTCACGCTAAGAAGACCCAACATGCCCCCCCCCGTACGCTCCATAGGAACGAGCATTCCATGGAACCCGCTTGACAGCGCCATCAAGTACTTGGGTGTGTACTTAGATAGAAAACTCACATCAACAAGAAGCTATCGGAAGGGTACGCTCCATTGGGCATGCTCAACTGCACGATAAACCGAAAGTCCAAACTAAAGCCAGAAGTGGGACTCCTGCTCTACAAGTCCCTAATAAGACCTTTGGCGCTCTACGGTTGCGAGGTCTGGGGAGCGGCTTCCACTTCAAAACTAAAAAAGATCCAAATCCTGCACAACAAAGATGCAGAGTGGTTAGTCCGGAATGCCCAGCGTCACCGCGAGTTTCAACTGGAGAGCATCGAGAAACACATCAGGACGAGGTTTAGGACGTTTCACACAAAGCTTCCCCAGGTGCAGAGAGCAGTCCACTTCAACCTAGGCAGCAGGGTGGCCTCCCGTCTAAGACCAAGAACATTGCAAGACGTCTTGGGGTGATATGTGAAAATGTCTGCGATATGTGATATTTATATTTATAATGTAAATAGTAGTATAAAGAGTTTAAGCTGTTACAAAAGCTGCTATTGCAAATGGGCTCCTATGGAGCAATATCATTAACATATGCCATTATAAATCTCTTCAATCTCAAAAGCACTAAGTAAAAGAAATGTAACTATGACTAGTGAAAATATATAAAAAAATATTTAAAAAACAGACTCAAGATAATCATGCTTTCTTGGTTTCACATTTAGCTTCTCAAAGAGATTTCACATCGTTTTTCTCCTTCCTTTACCAAACAATTTCTTCCCATTCCTATTCCTACATTTATAATCTGTTAATGTTTAAGTCAAATTAAGCCTTCAATACACACTCGCCACACTCGTTCTTCCTCTACCTCCTCTCATACAAATCCACCGGTTTTAGCAGCTCCTCTCTTACCCCTTCCTACAACCTCTGGAATTCCTTACCAAACTCTATTCGCTGTGCCTCAACCCTTTCCACCTGTCTTTTTGACTATTGACCTTTAACTATTGTCAATTTAACACCGAGGTTGGTTAATTGTCTGTCAATTTTTCCCCACTTAATTTAGAACGTTTCATTTATTTTTATACTATTACATTTAAATATTTATTTATGAATTCATTTTGACACAAATTGTGCGAAATGTTGTAGTTTTCGTAATTACACCCGAAACCCCAGAACCAAATTTATTTTCTTCTTCTTAAAAACTTGAAACAAATCAATCACTTTATATAGAATAGTAGAAACTTAAAAGTTGTCTATGATTTCGATCTTGATCTCTTTTCAGATGCTTTCCACGATCTATTTATTGTCTTCTTGGTTCTTTATTCTCAACTAATGACACATATTTTCTACCCATCGTTTATTTCATTTTTTGACTTAATCGTCTTGCTCTTGTTTGACAAGTCCATCGATGACTTCAATTTTAAGCGAAGTACTAGGCAGAGACCATCCACAGTTTGAAGAGTGGAGTTAAGATCATTAGTTGGTCGTTTTTTAAAATAAACATAGATAAAAATATACGATTCTTTGTTAAACAAGGTAAAATTTTGTGTGAAAATCATCCAGTACTAAGCCAGTTGGCTAAAGACATAAATTGGGAAATCCCTCAAATTTGCTTACTAATTTTTTAACAAATAAATCAAATCCCCTTCTATAGAATTAAAAAAGTGTCCACTACGTCATTATTTTTGTATAGTGTTGACTCGTCCGTTTGTGTTTTACCTAGTATTTAAATATTTTCATGACACACCCACTATAATTTTTTTTACAATGAAGATGTAACCGAACTCGGTTCGTGTGCCGGTAAATGCGCTGACCAATCTGGATTTCTCTTTATTTCATTTCTCATTAAGCCAACTGCCTAGGATGAAAGGGATTTCCTGGAAATCGGATTAAAAAGTATATCCGTTCGATTTTTCAGCGTGTGGACGGGTTGTAAACAAGGATCTGAGGAAATCCGACAAAGCAGATCGTGAAAATACGGATTGAGAGAAAGAACTGGAAAAATGCATCGTGTCCAGAACAAGGATGTGGAAATATATGAAAGGAAAGTCAGCCCGTTAAGTCCTGAAGAAGCCGAAGCCCCGATAAATCTTGCGAAAAATATTTGCCTATCCGCCGTCTGTAATTTCCGTCGTTTCTCCTTTTTCTCCACCCGTTCTGTAAAGGGTTAAAGGGGGGCCGTCTGGCATCGTTGTGTATGGAAATACGTCGGGTTGAGTTGGGTTCAGAAGATTGGTCTGAAATTTTCTACGCAGAACCAGCAATAAAACGGTTTTACTGCCCAAGAGCTCCGGCCTTAAATATAGGTTGAGTCGTATTCCTTTTGCACTGAGGATCTGAAGAACCCGGGACAGCCAGCGGAGACGGGATTTATGCTGTAAATCCGCAGAGAAAGCCGTTTTGCTTATGTCACATTGGTCAAAAAAACAGAAAATGCAGAACTTTAAGCAAAGAAAAATATGCCACTAATCTTCAATTCGAATAAATAAAAATAAATCATAAATAAATAAAACAAATAAAATCAAAATCAAAAATAAAGGGCTAAAATAGGAATATTTTAGCATGGACGTGTATCATTAGTTCTATTTAAAAAGTTCAAATTTATTCCATTTATTGAAACTTAGAAGTAAATATTCGATGTGACTTGAGATTTGATAGGTGGTACAGCTTTGCTTTTTTGTTTTTTGCTAAAGATTTTCCTATATTCATTTCTTCTTATTTTCGTTTTGTTCACATTTTCTAAACATTGTGTACTTTTAGTTTAATTTGGACGGTTTTTTCTTGATTTCAACTTTCTGTTGTATTCTTCATTTTGTTGCTAACTTTTATTGCTATAGTGCGAACCAATATAAAGTTTCAAATTTTGCTACCAAATTTCAAAGTCATACTTTGGGGGAAAAAATCTTTTCAGCCTTGTGAAGAGCTTTTCATGGGTAAAACAAAGGAAATGTGGTATGATTTACAGAAAATAATAAGATAAAATTCACTGTTTTACTAACAAAATTGTTAGTAACCTTCAAAAGTCATACTTTGGGGAAAAAAAATTTTCAGCCTTGTGAAGCCTTTCATGGGTAAAACAAAGAAAATATGGTATGACTTACCAAAAAGTAATAAGATAAAATTCAATATTTTTTACTAACAAAATTGTTAGTAACCTTAAAAATTGGGAAAAAAAGTCTTTTCACCCTTGTGGAGAGTTTTTCATGGTTAAAACTAATTAAATATGGTATAATTTACCAGAAAAATGTAACGTAAAATTCAATATGTTTTACTAACAAAATTGTTGGTAACCTTCAAAAGTCATACTTTGGAGGAAAAAAAATTTCAGCCTTGTGAAGAGCTTTTCATAGGTAAAACAAATTAAATATGGTATAACTTACCAGAAAATTGTGAAATAAAATTCAATATTTTTACTAACAAAATTGTTAGTAACCTTAAAAGTCATACTTTGGGGGAAAAAAAGTCTTTTCGCCCTTGTGGAGAGCTTTTCATGGGTAAAACTAATTAAATATAGTATAATTTACCAGAAAAATGTAAGGTAAAATTCAATATGTTTTACTAACAAAATTGTTAGTAACCTTCAAAAGTCATACTTTGGGACAAAAAAGTCTTTTCAACCTTATGAAGAGGTTTTCAAGGGTAAAACTAATTAAATATGGTATAACTTACCAGAAAAATGTAAGGTAAAATTTAATATGTTCTACTAACAAAATTCTTAGTAACCTTCAAAAGTCATACTTTGGGGGAAAAAACTTTAAAGACTTGTGAAGAGCTTTTCATGGGTAAAACTGATGAAATATGGAATGATTTACCAAAACGTAGCAATATTTAATGCAATATTTTTACTAACGGTTGTTTGTTCTTACAAAAATAATGAAAAATCAAGATATTTAATGCAAATTTGAAAAGGTTATAGAAAACTTATATAGCATTGCCGCAGGATAAATGACTTTACGCTTATAACTGTAAAAATTTTAAGGGAAATCACGGAATGAAAAATTTAAAGAAAGGACTAAGTATCAAAAGATCTGCAAACACTTAATAGACGTTTGTGGGAAGGAAACAAACAAACGGGGAACTCTGTGTCAACATTGATAATGACATATCATTCTAACTTAATGGCCAAGGATTCACAAACTTAAACGAACTTCGTTTGGCAAAAGATAATTTTATGTTCTGCGAATATATATGTAATATTAATACTGCAAACCGAAGAAAAATGAGAGAACAATCGAGGAATGACACAGCAGAATCAGATGAAGGATGAAGTCCACTCCAATCTCTAGTCTTTATTTTTAATTTAAATTAAAAATTCAAAGTTAGTAGTAGAAGTGTAGATTTATTTTAAATTTTAAATTTTAACCGTTTAACCCTACAGACTATAAACACATTTAAATCAGGATTAAAACGTTTAAAACGATTTTAATTAAAATAGAAAAAGGGCATACTATTTCTTTGGATTCTTTGGCAAGGCTGTTTTCGTGATAGAAAAAAACCTAGGTAAAAAAAAAATCAAATACCAAATGAATATTCTGAAAAATATAGACCTAAAGTCGATATTCACCTTGATCCCGGGCATGTCCGGGATTCTCATCGCTGAGAAATGACAGGGGCTTAAATTGGATTCCTTTGATGACTGCGAGGCTCGGCTGGAAAACAAATCGGTGAACATTTATCACAACTATGTCAAATGGAAGAAGGGGAAAAAGTTTTATTGTGGTGGGTTTTTTAATTGTAGGAAGAGGATTATCTGAACCAGGTTGCAGGACAGGAACTGCAGGTACTCCATTTACCCAACACGATCGACATGTTTGCGCCAAGACGTCTCCTAAATAGGTCCATTACCATTTAATGGTTGGAGAGCACAGAAAACCATGCTCAACATAAGCAAACTCTTTCAAGTTGATGTTTTTCATACTTAAAGGGGACGACCACGGCACGGATTTAGACCAAACTGTTTTGGTGATTCTACACTCCAAAATAGTTGGACACCTAATCGCCACTTCGTGTGAGTTTCAGGTTTCGCTAAAAAAAATATTTTTTAAAGTTGAAATTTTCCGTTTTTTAATATTTTTATTTCACCATTCTACTTACTGAAATCGACTATGTAAATATGTCATTTTACGGTATTTTTTATGTATTTTGCAATAAAACTGTACTAAACCCAAAAGTCTTTAAAAAACGAAATATTTTTCAAGTAAATTAGGTTATAATTTTTTTGCGTGAAACTAATATGAAATTTCGTTTTAGCACCTCTAGAAACCCTTGAAATATAAATTTTTGTATGAATTTAAATTTATCTATTTTTTTACCTCTTAATTTTTTTCGATTTTTAAGAGGTGCGTATATTTTTGATCAATTTTGAGTTTAAAAGTGGCCACTCTTTATAATTGTCCAGGGAAGAATTGTCACTGTGCTGAAATTGTTGAGCCATTCCAGGAAGACAAACAAGATATATTGGATCTTACGATTTCCAGCGAAATAATCCTGGGAAGGCGGTCGTTAGGAAGTTTTAGGACCCTGCAGACATAGATAGTATGTAAATTTAATGTAAACAAGATTTGACCTAGTTTACTTGAAAAATATTTGTTTTTTAGAAATGTTTTGGTAATTGATAAACTTTGATAGCTTTTACTACGTTTTTCTTATAATCTTCATAAAAAATGCTGTGAAATTTATATTCACATAGTTGATTTGAGTAAGTAGAACGGCGAAATAAAAATATTAAAAAAACGGAAAATTTCAACTTTCAAAAAGGTTTTTGGCGAAACCAAGGCTTAACACAGTATGGGGATAAAAGTGTTGGCCACAAGGCCTCGACCTGAATAGATCTATCGTGCTCCCCTATTATTTATAATTAACTGGCCAGCGTCAGATTATTAATCATCCTTCATAGCTTTCCCAGAGGTTCCTTGGTGTAGGATCTTGCTTGTGGCTTTACTTGTCCTAGTTGCAAGAACCTGCACCTACATAGACCTTCACAGAAACATAAAAAGTGTTCTGCGGTCTCCTCCTCTTCCTGGTAGTGTCTGCACAGTGTTTCTTCTGTTTGTACTCCCATCCGGCGTATGTGCTTTCTTAAGTGGCAGTGTCCTGTCAGGATGGTGGCGCAAAATAATTGTGTAGCCCTGAGGGCGTGGCAACCTCTGTAAAGCATAAGCTGTACTCGTGTCAGCCTTGGGTCGGCATGGGGCAGCGGGTGCCTTATCAGAGGTACACGAGGGTTAGGGCACCAGATCCTGTCTGCATAGACGGGGGAGGGTGCATAGCCATCTGTACTACGGGGTAACAGAAATGTTCCAAGGTTCAGCCCCTGTTACAACGGGAATGGACTCGTAGTTGGCCGTGGAGAGACCCCTGGCGGGTACTTAGAGGCTGTCTTCTATCTGTGACCTTCGCACGAAACTTGCGTATGACCATCGTTATGCACCCGGCATCACGGGATACGGCGGATCGAACAGCAGCGTATAAGCGTTGAGGACGCTATGATTATGCTGAAAAGTCCCTCGAATGCGGCTGGGCACGGGTAGTGAATCGGTTGCTCCTACTCGAGTACGCTTTGCACATAGGTGGAGGCTGAGCTCGATTGGAGGCTTTTACCGTAAGTGGTCTCCTCTAGGGCGGTTAGCAATTCCACTTGAAACGAAACCGCGGCCGGAGCGGATCCAGTAGTTTCTACGCTAGGAAGCCCCACTACTCTGGGAGGTAGAGTGGCCTTCTCTATCTAGGGAGTGCGCGGGAGCCCAGGCTGATGTATTTCGGCTTAGGAAGCCCTTTTCGCGCGGCATACGTTTCGATGCTTACTTAATGCGGACCGACCACTCGTAATGGGCAAGTGGGGAGCGAGGTTGTCTTGGTCCCTCGGGTCTGAGCTGCCTCTACACCAACGGCAGTAACACCTTTCTGTCGTATGCGGAGGTGCGTCAGCTCTCATCTTGAGAATCAAAACGTCCGATAAGGCTGAATAGGCTATGTGCGGACGTTAAAGATCCTCATTGTCCTTTTTAGGACGACCGAGTATACGGGAAGCAATGTCCTGTCAGGAATCCAACCAGAATCCTGGTTCGGTTGCGGTTGCCTTCCAGTAATTCCGTTGTAAGTCTTGCGGATGGTACTTCTGTGAATCATACCTGTGGATTGTTCCATCAGGTTTTGGACTCATTAAGGATCCATTTTAAGATGTATCCTAGCAGGGTTCAGGATCCAGAGAGTCCATGCTGGCCCCTTTTGGGCCAACATGTCAACCTTTTCGTTGCTTCTATGCCCCGTCGAGTGTCCATGGACCCATGGGTGCCTATACACAATTAGACTAAATCCGGGACACACCAACCTCGATGACCCTTGTTAGATAATCTTTAATTAACAAACCTACCATGTCAGATAGCCAAGCAGTCATGAGCGCGCTGAAACGCAAAGAGGTTATGAATTGCAAGACCAACTTATCAGCTGGGAATGGTGGACTTATGGAACAGAATCCTGTATTGAGTTCCAGGGCATGGAGAAGTAAAGGTAAATAAAATGCAAATGATTTGTTCTTTTTGAAAGAATGTGGTTGTTCCTTTTCGAACCCTTTTGCAGGATGATTATATACACTGCCAGAGTTTTATAACATTAAGCAACCACTATGCATCAGAGGAGCAGGAACTTAGAATTCGATCGTGTTTCTGGACGAGGCACTACAGAATCAATATGCCAGATTCTGCCAAAAAGGAGGAAGAAAACCAAACAGATTCGCTGAAACCTTAGTTTCAGTTACGAACGTACGGTGTAAATTCTTTATAAAGAAACACAAACTCCAACACAACTGTGAAATTAGAGTTTTCTCAAAGATAATATCAATACAACACTACTATAACATCCAGGACAAACTTTAAAAACTGGTGTTCTGCAGGTATTCTGGATTGGACTATGGTCTAACATTCTGCTTTGAAGGTTCTGAAAAAAGGTAAACAACGGACGGACAACACACAGAACGACTGAAAATGCGGAATCGTGAACTAACAACCAATGAGTGATAATAAAGATGATTATAAACTTATTCCATGTAACAATGTTCTGTAATTTCTTGATGTTGAGGAAGTGATGAACTTGTAGCCAGTTCAACGCATACAGTGATTAGGGATGGACTGCTCAATGGACGCATATATTCTGCAGAAGAGTCAGCAACCACTATGCATCAGAGGAGCAGGAACTTAGAATTCGATCATGTTTCTGGACGAGGCACTACAGAATCAATATGCCAGATTCTGCCAAAAAGGAGGAAGAAAACCAAACAGATTCGCTGAAGCCTTAGTTTCAGTTACGAACGTACGGTGTAAATTCTTTATAAAGAAACACAAACTCCAACACAACTGTGAAATTAGAGTTTTCTCAAAGATAATATCAATACAACACTTTAACATTATAAATTGGGACTACATTTTTCCCAAGTGAAAAATATTTTTCATCTCATTACCCTGATTTGTTCTATCTGTCCTCCGCTTGGAATTTGTTGGATTTTTGTTTTATCTTTATTATCTGGTAATAATAAAGCTGTTTAACTTAATAAGTCATTAAGCAAACAATAAAAGTTGGTAGGGGTTGTTGAAAGCTCGCAACTCTCTTCGGCCATCAGAACAGCACAGTAGCATTTATTCAAATGAGATAACATAAACAGAAAAGGGTTTCTGAAAGGGGGAGGAAGGATTAGAAATAAAAGGAAAGGATCCCGAAGACTGGCCGGTTAAAAAGAGGAATTCGCCCCCTTTCGGTTTTCAAAGAGGAGGCGAAAAAAGGTCAGGACGAGGGTTGGGAGCCGGGCGATAAATCTCCCCCGGGACTCCGGAGGACTCCGTCGTCGGGAGAAGGGGAGACGTATCGGAACGGGACAAAAGGAGATCCGAGCCACGATAAAAATCCGCCGGCTAGGATTTAAATACAGCGGGTGTCCAGTCAGAAGAGAAAAAACAACAACTGGAGAAAGAATTAAAACAAGCTACTGGCTGAAATCCGATGTATACCTCAGTGTTCCTCCTGAAGAACTCCACTCGAAATTTATTTTTAAAAAACAGGATTTAAACTTCAAATATTTACTGTATATTTCCTTTCGGCCTTCATCACAGAATCATAGCGATTCGCGATAAAGATCGGAACATCTGATCCTTCTAAAATATATATAGAAGAATACAAGAAGATAAGATGATCGTCACATTTCAAATATCCGCTAATCCCGAGGCTCATAAAAACATAAAATAGTAAATTAAGACATAGAAGAATACGATACTCATAAATCTAAGATAAATAAAACAAAACTGTCACAACTGCCACAAGGAGAGCCAGAAGACACAAACCAAATTTCCTCGAGATAATATAACAGACGTCATCCAAAATCCATTCTCCCCTAAATTTTGAAAAACTCATGAACACCACATCGCTAAACCTTAGTCTACAAAATATTATTTATCTTTACATAAATTGACTCATTTAAATAAACATATGTCAAACATAAATCAGCTGTTTTCACTGGTTTGTTTTACCAATTTATGATTTTTATAATAAAAAAAACTATAAATATTTTGTATAATATAGTACTTTTAGTTGTAAATAGATAAATAATTGCGACTACAATGTAACACGTGCAATATGTGTCCATCCATAATCCATAAAATATTTTTCAATTTATTAACACATGTCATAAAAAAAAGATGGAGGTTTTATAGTCGTTTTTGGGTCTGTCGGGCGCGTTTCGGCGTTTTTCCGTCTTCAGTGATTTGTCTGTATTTTGTCAGTTGTGTCCTTTCATATGTCGACACCTCGGACTGTCAAACCCAACTAGGATAGTCCAGGGATGATTAACTACGATTTACAGGGATGATATGGATATAGATTCATCACATCGCAAACCTAAACGTATACATTTTAATAAACGAATAAGGTTCAACCATAATTTTTCACTTACCAAATGATTTCGAAACGTTATTTTTTAAAAAATCCTCCAGCAAGATTCCTTTTTTAAGCTTTCCTCAAGCGCAGACTTTAAATGGAGCAGATACTGATAAATCTATCCATTCGTCTGCAGATAAAAACAGCGAGAATGGACGACCATGATGCTCTGGGATTAATAAGCGACTATTTAAAACACGTAAAAGTTGTTGAAAAGTTGAGAATACAGCTTGGGCGACTCAGATTAGCATGGTCCGCCTATTCTCGCTGATTTTCGCCACTTTTTCCAATCCTAAAAAGCATCCGATTGCCCTGAATAACACACAGGGGGAATATGAAGAAACGCCGATAGGACAGAAACAAACGAGAGAGTATGGGCGGACCTGGATGACCAGAGATGATCTTAGATACAGATTTATCATCTCGCAAACCTCAGCGTATTCATCTCAATAAACAAATTAGGTTCATCGCTGGTCATTCCTTTCATTTTCCATTCCAGGTCATTTTCCCCTACCAATCGATTTTGAAACCATTTGTATATATAATGTCCCAGCAGGTTAAGGTTACCTCATAATTAGGCAATTTTAATGGACCATAGTCTGATGGTGTTGCAGTTTGACTATGTGTCAGACAAAAACAGCGATAATGAGCGAACCAGGATTATTTAGGAATACCAAGCAATTATTTAAAACGTCAGATAAGGTGTTAGATTGTAACAGTGAGTGTGCAACTTGATCGACTCGGGTTAACATGGTCCGCCTATTCTCGCTGATTTTCGCCACTTTTTCCAATCCGATTGCCCTGAATAACACACAGGGCAATAATCATTGATCATGAAGAAATTCCGAAACAATTGAACGACCTACAAAACCAAAGCAGTAAGGGCGCACTAGCATGATTATTGATGATCTAGTAACATGTCCACCTTATATATCTCAATAACTAAATTAGCAACTTAGTTAACCATACTTTTTTCACCAACCAATCGATTTTAAAACTTTATTAAGAGAATATGTCTCAATGTCGCTTCTCAACAGACTTAAATACACTTGATTCTGATGATCTTAAAATATGTTCTTCAGTTGGCCGATAGAAAAGCGAGGATAGGCGAACCAAGATAACAATGGTTTATAGGTCAGACCTCAACAAGAAATCGTCCAATATCAACATATACTTTCTTCCAGTAGGTTTCATCCATCCATTTCTCCTAAATCGTCAAAAAAAAAAAAAAAAAAAAAAGGCTTTATAAAATAATACTCATCCACTGCTATTTTATCATTTGTTATCCTATACGTCGGAGGAATCTAAAACACATTCACACCCGGTTGATTAAGATATCGAAATAGAAATAAAAATTTTATACCACCAATCCTTCCAAGGAATTCTTGGAAAGTATGCGTTATAATAGAAGGTCCAATATCACATTCCACAGCAAAACCTAGTAGGCATTCTTATTTTTTTTCGAGATTATAATTGCTTTAGTTAATCAAAACCTTGAGTTAATAAAATAAGCAAGTTATTACAACGTGAAAATAGCGACGGCTTATGTGCAACCAAACATTAATTTTATTGTGATTTTTATGTATTCTTTGGGAAGATCCCTTCTGGATGGATGTGGCTAATTGACCAAAATCTGCACAATTTGTTTTCAATGTATTATTTTTCTCATTGATAAATATTTAACATGCAATTTAACAAAGCAAATGGAAATATAATTTTTTTTTAAGTTAGTTGCTTGATATTATTTTAAAAAGAAAGTCTGTATGATAAGTCCATCGTCAGTTCAAAAATCTTTATTAAACTATACTTTTCAAAATTAGTAATGTACTTACTTGGTATAAATTTGTTGGACTGCTAAATGTCCTGACGTTGGGCGTCAAACAGTTGCGATTTGTGTAGTTATTGATGACATTGATCGCCGTGTCAAGATGATTGATTACAAAATCCATCGTTTATTCTACTTGTCAGGTTGGCCGATTTTATAAGTTTTATAAGTATAAAAACTACTAAAAACCTCCAGAAGCATGCCAATCAGAAGTAAGTCCATCACCTCTACCTCATGAAAGAATTAGCAGATGGCTAAAAACCGCTGTTCGACCTAAAGATCTGTGGCTATTAGTTGAACCTTCTATAGATAAAGAAAGCCCTTGTGTACTGATTGCTGATTATACATTGTTTGCCAAAACACGCAATAAAAATGATTGATAAATTAAACATGATGGGGTCCAGAGGTAATTGGACAAATGCTTTATAAAGGTATTCTGAAATTTCTTCATCTGTTGGACCTGTAATGGTGGTCCCACTTATTCGGTTTGGCCATATGGGTTTCAGAATTTCTTCATATTCAGTGGTTAGTCTGTGCGTTATCGTCAATCGTGTCACTTTTGTACGTTTGAAATAATGGCGTAGATGGAAGATGCCGAAAACGACGAGAATAAGCGGAGAATTAAGCTGCAAGTTGCACCAGCCAGACTCTTAATTTCTAATAAGCTAATAACATATCTTGTGAGATTTCTTTGTGTGGTCTGTAGGGTGTTGAACCTGTAATTTCGTCGTTACCGATCATTTTGGTCCGCCTATCGAGGTCTTAACCCAACGGGTAGGTAAACCAAAGTTATAGGTAACGACCAAACTACATCTGATCTACATTGTGCCTGCAGATTCCTATTACAAGTTGATAGTTCGATATCTCTTGTTGAGGTCTGTAAGGTGAAGAACTTAGTTTAGTCGTTTCCAGCCATCCTGGTCCGCCTATCCTCGCTGGCGAGGCATCTCGGCATCTCCGGTTGGTGTTATTTAGTCAAAAAGGTGATTTTTGTACGTTTGGGGGGAAAAAAGGAGGAAGATGCCGTAGTCCAGCGAGAATAAGTGGACTAGGTTGATTTGAGACGACCAAACTGTACGTACAGCCTGATTATCTGAGGTGATAATCTCCGACCGTCCAGGTCCGCCCATTCTCGCTGTTTTTGTCTTTTAGACTATGCTACTGCTTCCGACTTACACTTCCGACTTCTTAAAAAAGAAACCTCGCTGGGACCATTTTTCTAAATATCGTTTCAAAATCGATTGGTAAGTGAAAAATTATAGATGCTCCTTATTCATTTGTTGAAAATTAATCTTTATCTTGATCAACCCTATTCATCCTGGTCCACCAGGCTGATTAGCTGTTTTTGTCTGGCAGATGCTTTCGACATTTTTTCAGATAAAAAATTTTCCCCAGATATGATGTTTAAACTCCATTGATAAATATATGTAGAAAATCAGAGGGAATGGGCGGACCAGATTGACAAAGGTACACACTTTCGTCACCTCGCAAGCATCAAAACAATATTTCGCTGGAAATAAATGTATAGCAGTTCGTTTTGATCTATTTTCGATGGTTTAGTCTGTCAGACGCGTTTCGTCACTTTTCCATTTTCGTTGGCTTGTCTTTGTGTTTTTTTTAGCTGAGACCTTTTACAAATTTAAAAAATTGGCGAAATGGCGAGGCAGAGCAGGTTGATCTGAGACGACTGAGCTATAGGTTCATCATCATCTCGCAGACAACAAGACATCAATCAACTCGCTGGTTTGGCTTTTAATTTCATCACCTTTCCCTCAAGCTAACCCATTATTGAACATGCCCAAATCTGGTAGACCAAACCTGCGAGGACCAAGCCAGAACGACCGGCAACCGTCTACCTACAAGAAGTTTTGCAGTCCCAATGGGCATAAAACACTTAAGATGAAAAAACGATCAAACTCATTATGTACAACTTTTGAATTCGACCTTGCTGACAGGTATTTCCTAATTAGAAGGACCGGCCATCCATTAACCACTTACTATTACGGCTAGTCTTAACACCTGCTGTACATTAACAATAACATACCAACCTTAGTGAACCAGAGAATAAAATGCGATAGATTCACATTAACGGTAGAAGACTTCGGCTAACCTGTTGGTCATGAAAGCATGCTTCTTTTCAGAATCATCATATAGCTCTGGTATAGGGTTTAAAAATAGAACAGGGGAAACACCCTGATACGTTAGAAGCTGGAGTCAAACGGGAAGACTGTCGTCAACCCTACTCCTGGCAATGTCAGTGAAGAGAATGTGTTAACAAAATAAAAACAAACTGTACTATATATTTATGAAAAATTTCAATTAAATATTCTTTTTACGTAAGGTCTTGGTTGAGATGAAAAAGTGTCACGAGCGGGATTCGAATCAACGACCTTTTTCATCTCAACCAAGAGCTCACATAAAAAGAATAATTAATTGAAAAAATTAATATGGTCAATTAGACCACTAAACATAAATTGGGATTAATTTATGAAAAATACTGTTGTAGCTTCAATGTAATTATTATAAAGTCTCCCCACATCAGAGATTATAACAACTATAAAAGAAACCATGCTCACAATGGAGATAACTGGTTTCCAAATGGGCTTGCACTTGATTTTGGATTTGTATAGGCTCAAATCTGCACATGTACGTACATACAAACAAACATGCCGAGTCGAGCCTACTGGCAATAGTCCACCGGC